CGGGGATGGAGGCGCTGGTGCTGGTAATTGAGGCACCGAGCTGGGCGTGCCCCGCGCTGTGAGCTCGCACGACAAGGGCAGAGCTGTTCCACACCTCGCAGTGCAATTAATAGAGAAATACCGAGGTATCGGTGTGCGTGTGAAATCTGCACCTGTGGAACAGGTACCTCAAAGCCGCCTGGGCTGGGTTGTGTTCCCTGCTGGCACCTCTCCCATGTCCCGGCCCCGGCTGCCCTGCCTGCCCCGGCCACCCCTCGCATTCGTGAAGTCATTTCTGTCTTGCTGAGCTGGAGACTTTCCCCTTCGCTGCCTCTGTTTATGCCGTTGTTGCTGCTGTTTGAGAGAAATGTGCTGACTGCTTGAATTTTAACAGCTATTTGCAGGAGGAGCTGTAAGTTAAAATGCAGCTAAATTTAAAACTGTATTAAAATTCTCCAGAATGTTGCTCCTATTTTTATCTTACAAAGTGCTGAAAACTTGCAGGTTTTTAGTGGCCTAGATAGTACCAAGTTATTTGTAGACAGGGCACGGGCTGTGCTCTGTATCCTTTTGGAAGGGAAGGACTTGGGATCCCTCATCTTGCCTTGGGTTCTGTGCTGTGCTGGGGGATAGTGGAAGCACTAAGATGGGCAGATCTGCCTCTCTCCAAGGCTCTGTTGTCCTTAAAGTGTGGAGGGCTGTGGATTTTCATTCCCAATGAGAAAAAGTAGATGCATATATCTCCATAAAACATGAGTTCTGTTGGTGCAGCTTCTCAAACCCGCCTGAAAGCATTACAGCCAGTAACTCTGAGGCTGGTTCCCTTTCCTTTGGGCTGATTTCTGCTCTGATGGGGGAGGGAGGGCTGGGTTGCTTGTTTAGCTGTGGCTTTTTGGCAGGAGGATGGAGATTGCCATGGTGAACCTGCGAGGTCTGTTCGAGCAGCTCACACGCCAGGCCGAGCTCCTGAGTGAAGGAAACGAATGCCGTGAGTTTCATTTCTGAAAAATCTGCTGAAGATGCTAAAACCAGTCTGATCTGGGTTTTTCCTTTGTGGAGAAACGTCCATCCCATCTGAATTTCTGTGCAAGGCCACGTTCTCCTTGTAGCAGACTGGTTTTGTCTCGTGTTCCAGCTCTTGTGGCTGGTGCTGACAGGAAGGGCTTGGTCTGAGAAATGGAAGAGCTCGTGGGCATCTCTTGTGTGGCTGGGTTGGCCCAAAGGCTGGCTCTCCATGCCTCAGCTGGGAGCTGGTTGGGCATGAGGAGGAAGAATTTCTTCCTGGGAAGAGCAGTCAGGGTATTGGAGGGGTCTGCCCAGGGAGGTTTGGAGTGCCCATCCCTGGAGGGGTCCGAGGAATGATTGGAGGTGGCACTCAGTGCTCTGGGCTGGGTGATGAGGTGGGAATGGGGTCTTTTCCAACCTCAGGAATCCTGGGATTCAGTGTGAACAGATACCTGCTGTCAGCTGCTCCTCTGCTTGCCCAGCTAATGCTTCATGTGTTCCCTTCTCAGAGTTTATCCAGTTAGCCAAGAACTTCGAGGAGAACCGGAGGAAATGGCAGAAACTAGAGCAGGAGCTCTGCAGGTACAAAGATCTCCTGATGAAGACGGAAGCTGAGCGCAGTGCCCTGGACGTGAAGCTGAAACACGCCCGCAATCAGGTGGATGTGGAGATCAAACGGAGGCAAAAAGCTGAAATGGACTGTGAGAAGCTGGTGAGTAATTCCTGTGCTACCCATCAGCTCTCCAGAGTGTGGAGACAAGGCGATTAAACCGCATTGATCAGTGGCAGAGAAGGACTGGCACTCACAGGGAGGAGAGGAAAAATAAAAAGCAAGGAATTGGCTCGGCTCCTCGGAGCAGCCTCCTGCTTTGATCTGGGAAAGGAGCCTGGCTGCTGATGGAGCTGAGCTGCCATTACCTGTCTGAGCTGCCATTACCTGCCTGCAGCCATTAGCAGTCCATTGACACCGGTTCTGAGAGTTTATCTCTGCTATCTCAAGCACTCGGTCGGGTCTTACAGTAATTAAACACAGCGCATCCAGCTGCTGATGTTATCTGTGCTCACAGGAGCGGCAAATCCAGCTGATTCGGGAGCTGCTCATGTGCGATGCCTCCGGCAGCATCCAGCTCAGCGAGGAGCAGAAGTCTGTCCTCGCCTTCCTGAACAGGCCACAGCCTTCTGTGGGAAGTGCAGGCAACAAAAGGTAGGGAAGCAACATTTTATCTGAGGTGTCAGGCATCCATCCAGCTGTCGGCCCCTGTGACACATTCCTCACCCGAGTCAACAGTTCCCCTTTTTGTTCTGCTTTAAAATACGGCTCCTCTGAGTCAGTGGGATTGTTCTGGAACCGTGACTGACTGAAAGCCAAACTGATACAAGCTTCTTCTAATTTTTGTTTTTTAGGCTGTCTACAATAGATGAATCTGGCTCAATTCTGTCAGACATCAGCTTTGACAAGAGCGATGACTCACTGGTAATGTAACTCCGTTTCTGAAGTTCTCCTCCCCTGTAAAGCCCGAGGGGAGGGGGTTGATCTCCAGAGACCCTTTGTGTTTGGATTACTGGGATATTAACCTGGCTGAGCTGATTTGCATTTCCCGAGTGTGCTGTTGGCTAAAATTTGATGAAAGCCCTGGCCGGGGGCTGTGTGCTATTTACCATTAACCAGTGCTGTGTCTTTCCCCCAGGACTGGGATTCCTCGGTGGTGAAAGCTGTCAGGCTGAAGAGGAGAGAGAAGCGGGTATTGTTCAATTGTTCCTGTCACATAGCTGCCTTTGTTCCCCCTGGCTGCCACAATGCCACCATCTGTCACCTCACAGCCACCTGTCCTGACCTCTGAGCCACTGAACAGTCAGACCTCAAATGGCTGTGCTGCTGCTGTGCGGGTTTAGATTAAAATTTAGGGCTGATGTCATTGTTTGTGTACTGAAAACGAGTGGAGTTCTGTGTATCCTGTGCTGTTCCAGTCTGGAGTTTGCAAGAAAACACTTGCAGATTATTAACAGTTCCCAGATTAGGGGAAAATGGAAGTTAACATTTTTCTATTCTGTAAAGGAGCTTGTGCTTGTTCTGCTTTAATCTGCAGAAGGTACAGGTGGGAAAGAGCCTGAAACCATCACCTAGTGGAGCTGGGAAGACTCTGGGCCCTGCTTAGTTGCTGGTTTTTGTGTGTGTAGTTTGTGGGTTTGTTGGGGCTTTTTTGCCCTCGTTTCTTAGCTCAGGTTTCTTTTTTTCTGATCTGATTTATAAAGCTGGCTAGGAAAATTTGAAATTCTTCCTGGCACCTCCAAGGTTGCCACGAAGCAGAGGTTCCTCTGAAGGACTTGTCTGCACACACCCCAGATGTGTGAAGTGTTCAGTCCTTCCAGTCACCCTGGGCCAGTGTAATGCCAAGTGAGCAGCGTTCCTGCTTTGAGACGAGGATGTGCTCTCTTTTCAGCGCTCTTCCAGGCAGTTTGCTGAAGGGCCCCCAGCTCCTCAGAAGAAATCCAGATCTATCAGCAACACAGCAGACCAGGTATGGTGGTCACAGCTGGCCACAGTTCCTGCCTGTTTCCAGGGCTGCTGGAACTCCTGTGTTGTGTCAGGGCTGCTGGAACTCCTGTGTTGTGTCAGCACTGCTGCCACTGGTGTTTCTGTCATTCCAGGCTAATGAATCCATAGTAGCAAAGACCACTGTGATGGTCCCCAACGATGGTGGCCCCATTGAAGCCATTTCTACCATCCAGACTGTGCCTTACCCTCGCAGGAGCCGCAGGAAGAGCGGTAGGTGCTACATCTCTCTCTGTCCTGACACAGCTACACATTATCCTGAAATATTCCTAATTCCTTCCAGGACCTGGGAGCTGCTTCTAATTTATGATGCCCATGCTTTTGGGGGCAGAGGGTGATTCCAGCCTCTTCCTCTTGTGTTTTCCAGGTCCTTTGCAGCCCTGGAGCAGCGAGTCCAGCATAGGCAGTAAGCAGCTGGAGTCCAAGCAGGACACCGATGGCTCCAGCACCCCCCAGCACAACGGGGGAGTGAGGCTGCACGACTTTGTTTCAAAGACGGTGGGTCTAAGGCAGGAAGAGATGGAAAAGCATCTCCTTCCATCTTGGAGTGTGTGTGAAAAGGGACTGCCAGCTGTGTCAAGGGAGGTTTAGGCTGGATAATGGGAAAAGGTTCTTCTCCCAGAGGGGGGTCATGCACTGAACAGGGGATGGGCATGGCCCTAAGGCTGTCAGAGCTCCAAAGAGTTTGGACAATGCTGTCAGGGATGCACAGGGTGGGATTGTTGGGGTGTCTGTGCAAGGGCACTGATGAGTTCTGTGGCTCCCTTCCAGTTCAGGCTATTCCATGATTCTTTGATTAGTCTCAGGTCAATATGACCTATACCAGTTACATGGATCAGAGACTTGTTTACCCAGTTTAATTCCTGCTGAGTTACTGCACTGCACTGATCTCTCCCATCTGTGTGCTCCGGATCACCAGGTTATCAAGCCAGAATCGTGTGTCCCGTGTGGAAAGAGAGTCAAGTTTGGGAAGATCTCCCTGAAGTGCAGAGACTGCAGGGTGGTGGCTCACCCCGAGTGCCGGGAGCGCTGCCCCCTGC